AAACCTGCGGGGAACTCTGCAAAAAACGCATCTTCGCACGGGCAGCCCATGCGTTGGCCATTTATTGTTTTGTAAAAAAGCGGCAAAAAAATATTCCATTTTAATTTTCCTTCGACAGTCATTGAAAATTGCATGTTGTGCATTTCCATGGAGTGATGAGTGCAAGGGATGAAATGAGTTGTCGAAGAAACTTACGTTTAGGCCGATTTTACCATTAGTGATTTGGAAATACCCATGTATTTTAGTTTTTATGCTCATCTCTGTATCTACGGCAAGCTTTGGACTAATATGGAAGCATAATTCAGATGTGGATGATATCAAATACGTCATAAATTTCGATTATTCGAACAATTCCGAAGACTACGTGCATCGCATCGGGCGAACTGGCCGTCGTGATAAAACTGTAAGTCTTGAAAATTCAGTAAAACAGTGGTTTAATGGTGATTTGGTGCCATAGTGCATTTTCTTGCTGCTGCAAATTCGGAGTGAGTAAACAAAGAAAAACACGCAAAAGCCGTTTTTATTAACGGGATGTATACTCGGTTACTCGATGTATACTCGGTTAAAACACGATCGGCTTTTGTGCTAAATTTGTACTCAGCATTGTATACTACATCGATTTATGTGCTATGTATTATTTTGAAGGGTGTTGCGTATACGTTCTTCACCTATTCGAATGCAATGAAAGCAAAGGATCTGATTAAAGTTTTGGAAGAGGCGAGACAGAACATTCCACCTGAGCTGCAGATGATGGCAAAGGACGGTTTTGTTGGAGCACGTGGACGGTAAGTCTCCTCAGCATTCCTCCATCCAGTGATAGTACAACCACACGCGGCAACATTGTTGGAATATTATTTTGATGAATGAAACTGCATCTTTCAGTTACAGTGGAGGCAGTGGTTACAAACGGAGCTTCGCTAGCAGTGGAGGAAGTGATTTTGCCAAAAGGGCGCGCTTCGATCCTCCTCGAGTTGGTGGTGGATATGGCAGCAGTTGGTGAGAACACCGGACAGTTGCACTTCCACTAAATTGCCAAAGCACATACCCCTTTTTCCCAGAGCAGAAACAAGAAGCCATCCTGCAGTTCTTCCTTCCAAAAAGATGTGGTATTATGGGCCGGCCAAGCTATGCACTGACAAGTAAGTTCCACCACATGTGATCCAGAAAAATACATACTTTTTCAGATCGTACGATCTGCAAAGCCCAGTATTATCAACCAAAATGGGCTTTGGAATGTGCCGTGGGTTGTGCGTAGCTGGGTTCGGTGTCCAGGCTCATTTTTTTAATGCGTTTTGCACTGTACAGGCAACAAAATAAAACGCATATCGTCACACCCTTGTCGGTGTGTTTGTATGCGATATATATATGTATTCAAGGATCTCGCAAATTTAAATTTAGCTCCCATTTATGCCTAGGTTTCACC